AGTACGATAAATCCACAAACAAAGGCCAATGTGGTGGCTATCAGTGGGCCAGCCCATTTACCAGGGTACTGTGCATCTACAGCAATGATGATTTGAGCCACGGTTTGCGACATAACTGCCACTGGTCCGATAGAAACATCTTTCGAAGTCGCAAAGAACTATGAGTGAGTTTAGCGCCGCGATTATCCAAAGTAGCGTGCACGTACGCAATATGTAAGAACGCCGACGAAGGATGAATACAGACCGTACTGTGCAGGAAGCGACGCAAGCTACGAAGGCTTGTCAATCAACGACTCGGAGAACAAGGGTTAAGATGGAATATTACTATCGCATATGACATTCCTTGCGGGACTAGCACCATCCCTACGGTAAGGCCAGCAATAAGGTCACCAGTAAGCCATCCCAAATCTGAAAACGTGTACGATTAGCCTGAGCTTGTCAAAGGGAGAATGAAGTGTCTCACTGTATCGGGTGATCCATCCAAAGATTGGAAACAGACTGACCAAGTATTTCACCGCCTAGAATAAGACAGTCCAAATCAAACACTCAAGGTGAAGAAAAGTATAAGAATTTCGTACCTCATGCCTTGGATCTTTCACAACTTGAATGCCCTTCAAATAGGTTTCAGTGGAGATTGTGGTTACAGTCTGCTCAGGGTTTCCGATCATTCTATTGCCAACACGCTTTGCTGTCGAAAGCATGGTCGAACTGCGAGTCAGTGGCTCCAATTCAAATGGGCCCACCGGGAATGAGAGGCTCGGGACCGGGTAGATATTTATGGGTAGATGGGCGCTCACCGGCACCGCTCAGTGTGGACAAATGCAGCAGATTTGGCGGCTTTGTTCAAGGCAATCAAGACTGGCTCCAAACGACAAGTGATGAGTCACTACGTTACGGCCGCCTATACAGTTTTCTGTGATGTTGCGAAGAATGGCCAGCAAAACGAAGGCGGGTGTCCATTTTATAGATGCGACAGTCCAAATTGATCCGTCAAGATACGTTCTTTCTGTGAAGCATACCACGCCTTGATGTCAATCAAGCACGCCATTGATGGTCGAATTGGCGACAACAGGCAGATTTGCAGGAGGTTCAGTCATTTGTCTACAGTGACATGTACATATTATATCCGCTGAGTTGAAATTCAATATTCATCATCCATTCTCAGTGGTATTTATTACTGAGTATACATTGTTCACCGCGATGAATGTGATGGTGCCATCGGACACAATGATCCAGGGGCAAATAAAACACGGAGCGGGTCATATTCATGACATAGGCACTGACTCCGCAGCCACAGCACGGAGTCGGCGCAAACCATATCTTTCAATCTGGTTTCAAATTGACACCAGCGACGATTGAGGCCTGAGGCAGCAGTAACAACGGCTGCACTACATTGCAAGGTACAACTTCGTCAGAGTCGTTCCCGCCGCCCGGAACAGCGTGGGACTCGTGTAGAGACCTACGCGACAGTCGTTCACACACGGCGATACATATAGCATACTCGTGGAGAAAGCCTTTCCTAAGTAGAAATTAATAAATCATAACGTTAGTATAAGTGACGGAGCGGACCTACTACAGGCACTACGTACCTGCCAGGCAAGCAAGTTCTTGTGTGCACGCGAGACAATGCAAGTGGTGACAATGCTGCCACGCCATCCTGTGCTATCCACGAGGACAATGTTCCTCTCAGGATATTGCTTGACAGGTTGTCAGAGACTTCACCACTGGCACATTCGATGGCGACATACAGCCTGCTAATTTGATAGTATTACGCCACGCCCTGGCTGTATTATTAACGGTCAATTCGAGGGATATGTGCGCTGACCTGAATGATTCTTTGTAATTTGCGAAAGCCTGGCCTCAGTGAGTATGAGTTCAACTAGAAAGCTTCAAAAATTACAAGGTCCTACTAGTAGGCTGCCGTAAATGGGTCACGTGTAGCAACTGTTTTGCACTGTCCGCTGTGTAATGTTGTACATACTCTCGTCGCTGTCAAGACCAGAGCGCAGTGCGCCTGTATCACGAACAGATATCACGAACCCATCAGTAACGATATCGATTTATGTCTATTCACCCAAAGCCTGTGCCTCTCGTGGCACCTGGTCATACACGCCCAGTAACTCACCTTTCTTTTTCACCACTCCAAGACGATGGCACCTATCTTCTTGTGTCCAGCTGCAAAGATGGCAATCCGATGCTTAGAGAATGGACTGGAGACTGGATAGGCACATTTTTGGGTCACAAGGGTGCAGTATGGTGCACAAAACTCTCTCCGGATGCTTCGCGAGCGGCATCAGGAAGCGCTGACTTCACTGCGTGAGTCTGCCGCTCCAATTGCCACCTTACTTCCTTCCTTGCTAATTATAATTAAAACCAAGGAAAATCTGGGACACATATTCAGGAGATGTGTTACACTCATTCCCTCACAATCATATCGTTCGAACTGTGGCAATCTCTCCGACGTGTTCTCACCTTCTTACCGGAGGTCAAGAAAAGAAGGTCAGAATATTTGACCTTGCACGGCCAGACGCGGAGGCAGACTTCCTTGGTGATGTTGGCCTACCGTCCCATGATGGAACTGTGAAGAGTGTAGTTTGGGTTGGAGAACATACTGGTGTATCGGCTGGAGATGATGGTATCATCAAGTTTGTTATAATAACTAACCATGACAGAACGCTACTGACGATAATGTTGTACAGATGGTGGGACCTGCGAACACGAAAACTTACAACAACTATGACATTCCCTAATCCCATAACTTCGATGGAACTATCGCCGCAAACCAAGCGTCTGGTTGTGACATCGGGAAAAACTGTTGCATTCATACCTGCTTTACCTAGTGGTACTCCAACACATAGTCTCAACTTAGCGTACTCGCCATCATCCGCATCCGTTCATCCTATCCTTCAAGACCGCTTTGTCACAGGCAATCTCGGGGACGAGTGGGTCAGGGTCCATGGAATGGATGGCGAGGAGCGGGAAATCTTGAAGGGACATCACGGACCTGTCCACTGCGTCGAGTTTAGCCCTGACGGCGAAGTATATGCAAGCGGCAGTGGTGTGTTTTCATCCTAACTGTAGGCATTCTTATCTGATTAGGCGTCAATTACGTTACTTTTCAGAGGATGGTGAGACTTGTTCGAACAGAATAGTTTGGACGATATTGATAGGTATAATGTCACAGGTACAATTCGACTCTGGCAAACAACACCCGGGAAGGCATACGGCTTGTGGCAAGGTAATACTAACGGTGGTTAGGAGAGAGTGGGAAGGAGACACCGCACACCGTCTAACATCTCTAGGTCATACATTGTCGATTAGTTTGTGGAAATGTTCGTTGATCGAGCAAGGGGATACATCATGTAATGTCAGGAAGCTTACGATTCAATCATATCATACTGTTTCCAATCTGCATGACTATCTTTATTCAACAGCTAGGGGACTTGCATGGAATTACAGTCCGTTCTCAATCATACTTCTACTGGGGCGCATACCGGGAGTACTCGTGGGTCATATGGTTGAGAGAGGCTGGGCAGTTAACTTCTTACCTGCCGTCAAGTTGTGTGCCGGAGTGACTTGGTTGGAGAGATGCATCCCCGTTTCCACATGATATCAATCTTCCTTGCGTGTTGCAGTCTGTTCTCCGTTATTACATTTTTGGTCTAGTCACATGCTAAATACAGCTCGTCCGAGACTATACTTAACGGGGGTCGTAGGTACTAGATGTACCCACGAGTTCGTGCTCACCTAGTGTTCGTGCTTTACTCTAGCACATACAAACCATCACAAATCATTTTGGTATATAGAAATGAAATGATCCTGCATTGTCAATGAGTATTTCTATGTCTTTCATTTTTTGAATAATTGTGTTGTGCAAGTGTTATGATACAATATACACCGTTTGGAGACAATTTGGCACACTGATCAGTGCCGGGAAGGCAAACTCACACCGATTTTAACCTCGGAAGTGCTTAGAACATTGATCCTGACAGATATCTAGCTAAAATAACAACTTCCCAGGTTGATTTGGCAGACTATTGATGTGCAAGTGAAGGATATGTTATCTGGCGTGACAATCTACTACAAGACGTTACATCATTTTGAAATCCCGCCATGCCGCAACGGATTTTTGAACTCTAACTTGCGTATGTGTAGCGGACTTCTAATCGGCAACGTCGGCAACCTGTGACACAGTGTGACGAATGCACGAACACTAGGTGAGATAGACTAGTGGTGCTCAGTCATGCTATAGTAACACAACAGATCAACTTTTTTGTATATAAAAATTTGGGCCATGTTATTGAGATGGTATTCTATCTACTAATAACTATCCGATATTTATTTTGTGTTGTGGATCGAGAGCAATGCGTGAGACCGTCAAAAAGCACGAACACTCAGGTACATCTAGTAGTATGTTGAACGACAATTTCAACTCTAAGCGGCGGCCGTTACACGGCTAGCCATTCATTTGGTAAGTCTGATGTCAAAAATGGCCAATATCTATTTAAGATCTCACGCACGTTATTGGTATGGTTTTCGGGCAACGACCACACTATACAATTGTGATTCATGTTGTGTATATTCAGAAGTGTGATTTACTTGATGTCTGTGTGACTTCTGTAGAATATAAATAATTTATTTAGGTGATCTATGTCACAAGGTACAATATCTATCTCTGTGAACATCAGAGGTGTGATATTCGGAGCGGATATCAGTTTGATGGTCACCCGAAGATGTAAGGAGGGTGTATTCATGAAGACATATAGATCATATCTGCACCTGCATATCTGAGATAAGTATGTCCGTGTACATGTAGGTTGTGTATAATCATATGTCTATGATACATGACATATATCTCTTCTCAGTGGTTTTCCAGTGTTGTGGGGCCGTATCAGAACACATAAAAGATGACATGACATCATATTATTCAATGATAGCAAGGATACACAATGATTAACAACGATTATAGCTAGAATGAGGAGTGAACAAGCGCGCAAAATCTACCACAGCAGTTTCTTCTGAATCGTCTCCTGCCACGCAGGCTGCATGGCTTTTGAGAGAGTTGAAACTTTGCGGCGACCAGGGAATTCCTGCAAATCAAGCTGGAGAATCTCGACCATTGCCCTAGTTGTCGGTGGTCAGTTGAGTGAATGAATGGTGTGGGGCATACACATACTTGCAGTATGCATCCTCATACACAGCAGTATTACCGTCTGATACTTCTCACACACTTTCACGAATCTGCTCCAGCATGGCATCAATGTAGTTCCAAAACTTCTGTTTGTTCCACTTTGGCATGGAGCTGTCGAGTCTGAAGCCAGAAGTTGAACAACCAGGATCAAGATATTCATCAGAGATTCCATCTGCATCTGCATCCACATCTGCGAATGCATCTGTAGGTACAATAGTGTCAGTATCAGCTTCCTCTCCCAAGGTTTCTATATTGATGGTGACAGTGCTTCCAGTATGATTCGCATCCTTGCGGGTGGTGTCACTGATGTCATCTTGATTCCCACTGCCAGAGGCGTGAGGTGTGCCATCCTCGAGTTCCTGTGCCAGCTGAACTAGATTGACTTTGAGTGTTTGCTGGATGTGCTGTTGGAGGTCCGGGTGAAGCGAGGCAATGAGGTAGGGGGAGAAAAGATCCTGGAGGGAGACCTTTTTGTGATCACGAACTCCGATCAAGAAAATGCGGATACAGCGCCGCTGTCTCGGATAAGTGAAAATACATTAGACATCTGAAGAAACACACCAAAAACGCAAACCTAGTCCAGTGTGAAGAGTCGACTTCCATACCACTGTGTATAAGGGGCTTGAGAGCGTCCATAATACTTGTTCTCTTGATGATCAATGTTGTTAACTAAGGATATAATGAACACCGTAAACACTCCTATAGGTTCAAACTGTACTTACCGCAGTCTTGATCTGACCGCAGATGGTCGCCAAAAGCCACGTAACTAATTTACCCAATTGCATACGCAACTCACTGTCGTTGAAGAGGCCCTCAGAGATCTTGAAAAGTTCAAGGTGCCCTTGAATAAATTCCTACCATGTAACTAGTGAGATTGGGCAAGATTGAATGAAAACGACCTACCATGACATGTTGTTGGGTATCAGTCACGTATGCAGTCAGGTTAGGGGATAGCATGCAGGCAGTAAGACGACTCTTTAGTGCGCTCTGCATACAATACAACCAGTTAAAGAATGAATACATGAATGAATTAGCTGCACCTCAAAGTCCTTTGAAGAAATCAGTTTCTCTAATTCTTGTAGGGCGTGTGCTTCATTCCCTTCTTCTTGTTCAATCTGACCGGCCCTCAGCTCAAGAAGCATGAAAAATAAATTACCATTCTGTGTGAACCCAGTCAGACTCATAGCAAAACACAAGAGAGAGATGTACCTCAATGAATGCAAGCAATTTCTGCAATGGTATTCTGCGATCACTGGCCAGTTTCTGTGCATGCATTTTCAAACATTTGGTGCGTCTGGGGGTGAGTTGAATCATGTCAGTGCTGGAGTCCCTACGACGCTAAGTACCTGCACTGATAGGCTCGTCAAGGTCGGACGATTCAGATGGAGAAGATGGACGTGTCAGTGAGCATGGGGGAGAAACCTGGGAAGTATCCGGAACAGAAATCTGTTCATGGTTTGAAACCTGTCTGCGGGTGACCTGTAGCTGCGAGTTTGAGCTGATGGGTGGTCTGTGACTTGCGGGACCAGAGTGTGTTGACAAGCCTGCATCAGACCTGAGTATTGAGCGAGCACGAGGTCTGACACCAGACTGGGGTGGGGCCAAGCCATGCCCTTGTGGTCCGGGACCAATGCTACTTGCTCTGTGGGAGCCCCCAGAAGTCGAGCGAAGAGGAAAGCAATTCAACATCATCTTGAAGATCCTTTGAATGTTGCACTGAGTCAAACTGAACTGGACGTGCCAAACGGTTGAGCTTCGGGTGTTACAGTAGCGAGATTTCTCACGCACATGGTTTGCCGACAGTGACACCACATCATCAAAATCAAAATCAAAATGATATTAAACTATGACGGAGGATAATAGTGATGAGGGAAATGATAAGAACCTGACTGACGGGAATCAGTTTCTGGGGCTGGGGTATACAGTGAATTATGAGTAGGTACTTGAATAGGTGGAGGTGGAGCAGAGCGGATGATAGATGTATAATGGCCGTGGCTAGAAGATGTAACAAAAGTAGGCACCTGAGACGCCCAAGGAGGCACCTGTGGGGGTGGTGCAAATATTGGTGGGGGTGCAAATGTTGGTGGGGGTGCAAATGTTGGTGGTGGGAGATGCCACTGGTGTAGCATGGTCTGGAGGGACGGCAAGCTTGAAGGACCAGCCGCTTGGGGGGAGATAGATGCAGGGAATTGTGTAGGAGGAGGTGGACAATAATGAGGGTGTGGAAGGGGGTGTCGCAGGTCGTTTTCAGCAGATTGGACAGGTGGTGATAAGACATATGTTTCGGCTCTCCCATTCCATGTTGCAGCTTGGACAGGTTGCTGCTGCTTCCCCACGCGTGTCGACTTACACTGTTTCTTGGACATGGCCTTTGCCTTGGGCTGTTTCTTGGCATGATTGAATGCAGGATGCACACTGCGATCTTCGTCGTGGGGCAGGCTCACTACCTCTCCTCCAGACTTTTTTGCCAGCCGTTTTCCCTGCATTTGCTGCACGGCAGTTTTTCGGACAGCACTGGGATCCATGACATGCAATGGGGTCTCATGAAGGAATTCTGGGAGAACAGAGTGTATGTGTTGATAGTTGTGGATGGACCATGTGTTGAGGAAATATTCCGGTGAGGGTTGGTGTTCCATGATGCTCATCGTTCGGTCGGTTTGGATATGTTCCTGCCACAGATGCTTCATAGACAAGTCTCTGCATTTCGCGTCGAGGCAGTTGTGCTGCAAGTTGACTGTGCATATAATATCCTGCAATGTGTTTAATTTGTGTAGGATAGATACAGGAAATGGAAGGTTACCTTTCCCATCACAATGCGCTCCTCATTCTCAAGGCGGAGGCACGGAAGATGAAGTAAATGATGGCACACAGGCATAAAAGAAAAAATCTGAAGAGCGACAAACGTAACTAAGCGCTGTCGCGCCGTTGATATCAAGATTTCCCGAATACGTCCAACACGATGTGTGTATACAACTCAGAGTGGTGCTAAAGGCTCCAAACTGATATCTTTATGTTGTAGGTTGTGCACTGCCTATCTGCTATACCTGTGGGACAAGTGCGTTCGACCCTAAAGGGGAAGCTAGTGCAGCAAAGGTCTAGAAATGGATGCAGAAGGTGCCGCTTGTTGGCCAATGTGAAGCACGGGAAAGCGGCGGGAACGTAGCGGCTGGCGAAAGCCGAAGGCGCGGGAAAGACACGGCTGCGAAGCGGCCGATGCGTGAGGGGTTCGGATGATAATAGAGATGAAGGACAATAGAAATAGATGTAGAGCAAGTTGATAACTGATACAATGCGAGCGGTAAATAGATACTGATTACCAATAGCTACCAACTGTAGGCTAATGGGAGTTGCTACTGGAATGTCCGGAAAACAAGCTACTGAATGATATGTACTGCTAGTGCTTAAGTATTGCACTAAGCGCTGTCACACGGAACCGAGCCGATGCGCTACCGAGTTAGGTATGTAAAGCTATATGTAAATAAGGGTCTATGACGAAATAAAGGTGGTCCGATGCGAAAATGGTCTGATATGTAAATATAATCATGAAATAACGTACCATTGGGTTGGTTTTGGACTATGGATGGGTGTGGAACATTGGCTGATGAAGCGCGAGAAAAGCGGCCGCTAAGCGCGGCTGTGTACGTGCGCGGGAACGTTGCGGCCATCGCGGGAAAGTTGCGGCCGCTATGCGCGGCTCGCGGGAAAGCTGCGCTTCATATAGGAAAGCAATAGGGTGCTGAGGGATACTTGTCATATCCCGCGTTCCGGACCTGGACCTGGACCAATCACACACATCATTTCCAGACTTCCGGATCTGGCCGACTTCTCTCTAACGTCCGGATCCGACCCGTGTCTATCTTCCATGCCTTATCCCTTTGTATGTTCCTCCTCCAGTTAGACTATACTCATTTTCCGTACCTCGTTTCATTTCTGCCTTTATTTTCCTATGTCTTCATCTCCGTCTTCATTTACTATTTTCTGATAGACTAGTGTTTGACTTTTCTATACGCTCCGTCCACAGCCTCGCATAGCTTCGGACTGCGCAGACTGACTCTCCGTTAAGTCCTCAGTAGTATATAAACCCTGTAGAATCTTTGTACTTCCTCAGTTCAAATATTATCTTAGATTCTGCTCATTCCCTTCTCTGTCCGACTTGAGTTTCTCCTCTCGTCGTCCTCCACTAGTCTTAGGATCGATTCCTATAGACTTCTCACCTCTGCCTCTACCTCTGGTAGTCCTCTGCTGTTTCCTTTCTAGTTCGGACATCGTCCGGATTAGTCTTATCCTTCATTCCCGAACGTCTGCCAGAATTCCCACGCATCGGACATCGGACTCCGGACTCATCCGACAACCTTCGGACATCGTCCAACAGCCCTCGGAAGTTAGGGGCATGTACTCAGGTAAGGGGTGCAGCGCACGAGCTGAAGCCAAGCCCTTCGGATCCGACCCTTGAGCACATTCTTAACAATACTGCAAAAATAGCCTCTTCGAGGCTGTAAGGACTTCCAGTCCTACAACGAGTCTGTTGAATAGTTAGTAATTCTGCTAGGAGAAACGTAGCAGAGATGTACCTTGTTCTCCACCATGTCTTGAAAAATAATGTGCCCACCCAACTGGACATTTTCGTGCTCGCTAGTCACAATGGAACCCCCCTGGTAGTAATGAGAGTGAGATGGTCTTTGTAGACCGTCCCTCTTGAATATTTCCGCACAGCATGTCCATGGGCCAAATTCACGCCCAGATGTCTTGGGTGCCAAAATTTTACCTGTGCCTATGTTTGGATGGTCAGTCTTCAGACAGATCCTGCAATTGCGTGAGTCACTGTACCTGGATCAGCTAAACTTTCATAGGGAATCCCAAGCAGCCGGCTATGTTCTGGATGACCTTCAAGGTGGGCGACAACTAGCGGGCCACCCTGAACCCAGCCCCCCGCATTGGCATCATACCAATAGCCACCTGTAGTAATATGTTTGATGGTGTTGTTGCAAATAAATGTTGTGCATGTATCTCGACTTGGAGCTCGTTGGTTACTGTAAATGCATGTAAGGCGGAAGACATGATTGAAGGATTCATAGTGCTCAGTTGATAAAACAATAGCAGGTCCAAAATGTCATATGTACATGGGGAGATGGACTAAAAAGTGAAATTTCGGTTTGCTCATTAGGATACTTGGTGCACACTGTGCAGTGACATTGAGAAAGTCATTGATGGTTCGAGTGAGGTCCGCCAAATAGCTTTCAGTGTTATTGATTTTCGTGTGCCAAATAAGCACCACCAGCTCTCCGATTGTGGTCCATCCATTGAGAATGCTCTTTGGGACGAGATCATAGATTAAAAATGGCATAACTTGAGCAAGACTTTTGAAATGCTTGCCAATTAAACCACCCTTATAGTGGCAAATATATTCAGCATTCAAGGACGGCGCATTCAAGCCATCCTGTTCCAATGAGTCGAGACATGTCTGAAAGAGACCGAGCAGCTTAGCTTTCTCAAGGAGGAAAACGGTCTGGCCCCAGAAATACTTTACAACGCCAAGGAGAACAGTGTGAAGGATCTCCGTAGGAGTATCCATGTGAATGTTCAGTCCTACATATAGAATCTGAATGAGTTCAACAGTGCATGAAAATCAATCCGAGAATGCTCACTGTCCATTCCCAGAAGGGGGTTTATTGCATCCTCAATTGTCCTGCCTTGCAACATGTCCTCGAGCTGTTTCTCCAGGGCAGCACGAACAACAGATTCTGCCGATGCCAGCTGCCCTGCTTTGCGCTTTTGCAGCTTCTTTCCCAATTCCACCAGCGCATTGATGAGGTACGATGAGGTAGAGTCCCAAACTCCAGTCAATGTTGTTGTGGTCACAATCTTCCCGGCAGCTCCTGAGCATAACGCTGTGTCAAACTGCTGACAGACTTGAGACTTCATGTCTTCAGGTGTTCGGGGATTTCCTTCCTGTGTTATTCGTCAGATCAATTGATAGTAGCTGTTTTGTACGCAACATACCATAAAAATACTGTTATAACCGACCTCTGATTCTTTATATTCTTTTGTGCCGCCGACATGGCAGGTCCTGCAAAAATAATTACAATTCAACCCAGCATGGCTGCATTCCTCAGCCTGCATCGGATTGTCCCCCGCTAAAAATAGACCTTGAGGAACGAGCATCACCTCCTCGTCAAATTTGCAGTCCCACGCAATGATCCCTGAGTCCGCTGCCTTGCTACTCGATACTTGAGACAATGAGATGTCATGGACGGCGGAGAATACACACCTGATAGACTCCCTCATTGAATGCATTAATTCCATTGGTGCTGCATGTGGGGACGACATTACAAATCGAACGCAAAATTCTTTCTCTAACATCTCCCGAGGTAGGTTGGTGTTCGACGTGTATATTGCATGATGTTTGTTCTATTGTTTCGAGATATTTCCAGAGACGTCATCCATGAATATGACAAGCGGGACGGAATAGACCATCCGACCCTTTGCCTTTTTACGGAGTGGATGCGGTACGAGCTTCAAATATTTCTCAGACAATGCTGAGATCATGCTAAGCAGAGAATCATCTTTTGGTTCAAATGTGTACTCACGTGTGACCCCACACACAAGCTCATCCATGATATCTTCAAATGAGCGCCTGAAGATCGACACCGGCATGACCTCTTGCTTGTCATTGACAATGAAACCAGCCTAGCTGATGTGTCAGTATGTCATCAGAGTTTCTGCGAGATCAGGCCACATACATCTGTATATTGCACTGCATGACCCATGGCATACAATTCCTTCTCCTGTCGTAGATCTTGTGAGTCCCTTTGATTCGATGATCCATATGAGGCGTTGAAAAATCGCTCAGGAACAAAATAGGCTCCCGAGCGTTCCTGCAGAAGTTCGTTGGTAAAATATATTTTACCACCAACACGAGCTGCTGGAGGTGACGGCATCTCTAACAGCATCTTCTGCCCATGACAGACCTGCGACATCCCGGCTCCTCCATCCTCCGGATAATCCAGCATAGAGAAGTGGGTGAGTGGGTTGGCATAGTCCTAAGGGTATGATTAGCACAGGATGGTCGAGGCCCATGTAATTTTACCTTCGCAATCGCATGTCTGATATCATTGATGTAAAAGATATTGCCGGATGCCAATGTAACTTTGCGTATCGGATTTCCGACAAGTTCACATATACAGTCATTCGATTGCTTGATGGACCTGAGAGATGGGACATCGCATGCACCGAGTTCCTTGGCCCAGGTGAGTGCAGCTTTCTTCTGTGCGTCTGAAAAGGGTAGACGTGCGGAGCTGAACAAAAGTGAGGTTAAGAAGTGCTTTTGAATTATAGTGAGCATCCTCAAATTCCGAAAGAATGACGAGATGAAACCTACTGCCTTCGATGGCCAAGGATAGTATGGGCTCCCCGGTTTGACTGTCGGGGTATACTCGGCAGGGATTTCATCTATGATTGTGTCAGTAGCACAAAGGAGCATAGTTATACTAACGACTCACCCGACAGCTCGATTCCAAGATCAAATCCATCATCCTGAGTGCAAATCTCGTCCTTGAGAGCAGCAAGAGGCGTTGCAAAGAGGCTAGTGCCTCCAAGTAGCGAAGTCTTCAATTCTGCAAAAAGATCTTGTCTGCCACTGATCTCATAAATATGACGGTCCCACTCTACATCCCAAAGTGTTGACAGTGGGACCTCTTCTTCAACGGGTGGTGACAGCAGGACTTCTTCTTCAATGGATGGTGATATTGCTACTGGCTGCCCACTTTCAGGTTCAATGGAGGCGTCTTCGGGCTCATGTTGGCCTATTTCACCCTGGAAAGGTCCAGGTACATCCTTGTCAAAGGTATTGACATCGTGGGTTGTACGTCTGCATACACGGAAGAAGGGTTTAGATAAACACATTCTCCCAGAATGTTGGAGCACAGCATGTCGATGGTGCCTAGCACTCTCGCAGTGAGAATTGAGATGTTTCCGGTCGATTGTCCAGAGTGCGCCCTTATACTGAGGGCAGACCATGCAAATGACACGAGACCATCCTGCATTAGCATATTTCATAACTGTAAATGTAAGTGAAGCTCATTCAATAAACTCTTGAAATACTTACTTGTCCCATTGATAAGTGATTCATCCATACTGGCAGCTGCTGATTGATGTCGGTGAACAGAATCCGGATGATTGATGCATTTGATCCTTCAAGCTTCAAGTGACAAGTCCGCTGTAGGGATTCATTTCTGGCTAGGCTTGGAGAGACTGTCTTTACCTTACCTTATGTTGGCACTTTGTAGCTTACATAATCAAGTTACCTTTTCACCAGTTCTACTATGAGTCTGAGTATTCAGCAAGTTTCTATCATATTTCCTCTTCTCTGAGCCTTGAGCCTGGTCCAGAAACCCTTTAGGGTTGAATAGCAGCTAGGTTCTGCAAGACCCAACATTGTTCAGACTCACCATCTGAATTGTTGTACCTTCACCGCTGATCATGTGCTGATCCGAACCATTCAGTCATCGACCTTTGTCCTTCAATATTATCAATATGAATCCCTGTCAACCTCCAAGTGCGACCAACTGTGCCATGACACCTTGCACAGTTCAAACCTCAACCTTCTACCCTCCAATTCGCATGTGGGACATGCAAGACATGTCCCTCCAGCCTTTATGTATCGGTATATGCTTTTCAGGTGCTCTTCCAAGGCACCTTGTTCGTGATGTCATTGTATTGCCCTTTCCTGCAGCTTTCAGACTAATTGCTAATGATTCTTATTTTTTCTGACCCATCCAGATATCTGTTTCCATTGTAGAAGAGTATAGATCATTCACGACGCCAGTTTTGGAAGCTCTTTCTATGGATGGATACCCTCACTCTGGGTGTTCCATATCTTTTGACGATGTCAGAGTGCAACTTGCTCTCATTTGTATTAATATAACAACTTCAATAATTTTAGGTCTCCGACGTTTTGAGCAAAAGTGGAAAGGCACTTCCCTGCAACAACGTTGATATACCTATACCATTCCTTCCATTGCCGCACAATTTCAATCCCATGGATTCGTATCATTGGTCACAGCTGTCGGAGCAGATCTGGCTCTGGTTGGTTACTATACCGGAGGATTCACAATATTGGACATGGGGCCGCGACACATTCTGGTTGGCGTTTGTTGGCGCTTGCCCAGATTTTCCAAACGGCAGGTGGCCGAGGTGGGACGCAAGGATTCCCCTTGAGGGCCAGTTCATAGAGCACTGGCTCAAGGGTGGACCTGTGGGTGGATTCGATCAAAGTAGGGAAGGCTTACTTGCACAGATATGGTCTGACTTTTGTGCTCACACCATGCTTTTCCATCCCGACCCTGTGGTATTGATTGGCACGGTGTAAACTGCATATCATGTTCAAGTTGTAATGCATCAGGAAACCTGGATTTTTCCCGATTTAGCTGATATACCTGTATGACCTGACTGGTCTGATTTCAGACCTATCATAATCCCAAATTGTCAAAATCACAGTCAGACAGTGATGTCAGACACAACATACCCTCAGTTCATCAGGACATCATGATGCTCAGGTATTTCAGACACAGCAGGATATCATTGTTGCAGGATGTCTTGCTTTTCAAACATAGCAGGCTATATAGTACATCAGTCTTTCAGAACTACATGGCCCTCAAGTATATCTACCCATGCAACACTACAGTTCTGCCAGGACTTCATAATCATCAGCTTCATCAGACAAATCATAAACACAGATATGCAGCCTAATTAGTCAGTCAGACACATCAGTGAGATCAAACATCCAGATACCCAGCCCATCTGATCATGCAGACACTAGAGCTGTGTCAAGTACTGTAGTAGGTCAGATAATCTGACTATTCAACTTTTGCAAAACTGCAGAATTTCTATTCAAAACTCACCAATGTTTCATTTTCATTTTGCTTATATCTTGCTCAAATGACTACCAATTGGCAAGATAAGACTAGTCATAGACTCATTTCAACTAGGACTACAACTTTCATTAAGACACATAAGGATTTTACTGACTTTTATTTTTGCATTTTGACAAATTTGCCGATGTTTCATTTTCATTTTGCTTATATCTTGTTCAAATGACTACCAATTAACAAAGTGAGACTAGCCATAGACTCATTTCAACTAGGACTACAACTTTCATTAAGACATGCAAGGATTTTATTCACTTCTAATTTTTGCATTTTTGACAAATTTGCCGATGTTTCATTTTCATTTTGCTTATATCTTGCTTAAACAACTACCAATTGACAAGCCAAGACTAGCCATAGACTTGTCTCCACTAGGACTACAACTTTCATTAAGACATGGAACAAAAATAACAAAGTTGTGAAATATTTCACAAGTCCAGAAAGGTCTCATAGCCTAGTGGTTGTGCTGCACTCGAAGTGTGCATAATATCATGTGACCTTAGGTGCACATGGGTGGTTGAGAGTTCAAACCTGGCCAGGTGCAATTCTTTTTTTTTTGTTTTTTATGTTCATGAGAGCCATGATGAACTGAGATTTCTGACCATCTGTCAATCTGATCAGCTGAGGTGTCTGATTAGCATGATAGTTTAGATGAAATGCATGTCTGAACAATTTGATGTTCTGACTGTCTGATGGAACTGATTGGTCTGATTTCAGACAGGTGGTCTGATTTCAGATAACACATGTATGAAATCAGACAAAATCTGATGAGCTGATTTGTTTGATTTGCCTGGTGGGCCTGCTATCAGACAACTCAGCCAAATCATGGAAAATCCAGGGTTCCTGATGTGCTAGACTCAGATTTCGTAGTTACATAGGAGATGTTGTTGTGAATGCTTCTAATTTAATATGTTGTTTTAACATAACGTCGCTGCTTGTGTTCGTATGGCTGTGAGCTCGCTCCTGGTGTAATTTGACAGTGATTATTTCTTACTTATAAGGGTTTTCTTCCTAACATATTGTTAAGAATGTGCTCAAGGGTCGGATCCGAAGGGCTTGGCTTCAGCTCGTGCGCTGCACCCCTTACCTGAGTACATGCCCCTAACTTCCGAGGGCTGTTGGACGATGTCCGAAGGTTGTCGGATGAGTCCGGAGTCCGATGTCCGATGCGTGGGAATTCTGGCAGACGTTCGGGAATGAAGGATAAGACTAATCCGGACGATGTCCGAACTAGAAAGGAAACAGCAGAGGACTACCAGAGGTAGAGGCAGAGGTGAGAAGTCTATAGGAATCGATCCTAAGACTAGTGGAGGACGACGAGAGGAGAAACTCAAGTCGGACAGAGAAGGGAATGAGCAGAATCTAAGATAATATTTGAACTGAGGAAGTACAAAGATTCTACAGGGTTTATATACTACTGAGGACTTAATGAAGAATCAGTCTGCGCAGTCTGAAGCTATGCGAGGCTGTGGACGGAGTGTATAGAAAAGTCAAACACTAGTCTATCGGAAAATAGTAAATGAAGACGGAGATGAGAACATAGGAAAATAAAGGTGGAAATGAAATGAGGTATGGAAAATGAGTATAGTCTAACTGGAGAAGGAACGTACAAAGGGATAAGGCACGGAAGATAGACATGGGTCGGATCCGGACGATAGATAGAAGTCGGCCAGATCTGGAAGTCCGGAAATGATGTGTGTGATGGGTCCAGTGTAGGACTTGTAGTCCTTGTAGCCTCGTAGAGGCTATTTTTGCAGTGTCCCTCAGGTCCTAGCACAGCGCATGCTATCGCTACCACGGCGCGCATCCTTCCTATCGTCAGCCGACAGCCGCGGCTCACGCATGCACTTCGGTTCGCATCCACTTTTCGTCGGTTCCGTCGCGCGTCCTTCCTCCGTCCTATCCATGTCCTCCGCTTGTCCATTGGTGTGAATTTTATCTCATTTGCATTAGACTGATTATATTTCCGAAGGTGATATTGCGTATGTCTCGTTAGTTGCGTTATAGACCCTTAATACATATTACCGTTATCTTCTCGGCTCCGAACAGCGCTACGCGCACTATGATATATACTTTAGACTTATGATTTTTCATGTATCTTCTTTCCCCACTATCAAAATTATCATCTGTTTGCACGCAATACTCAGACTCTAAGTCTAAAAAACCTTCGGCCAACTACATCATGCGCTATATTAATGGTCGCGCAATTGTTCACACATCGCTGATCGCATCTATCGTCAGAACTCTCTTCCCTCATTATTGTCGCATCGCATCTCCTTCGCATCTCCGCTAGTCGCGCGTTCATATAAAACGTCGGCTTTTCCCCCGCATCTCCGCGCTCCATCAAAACTTTCGGCTGTTCGGTTGCACATCGTATCGCGCCTTCGGCAGCTCGTTCGTGCTCGCATCGCTTCAAGCGCAACATTGTGCGCTCTCCCATTCTCAGTTACCCTTACTAGTCTCCAAGTTTCCCCTCCATATTTTACTTAGAGGAATTGTTCTCAGTAGCAATCCCCTTGGGCTGAATCTATACTCGCGTCCAGAGGTCTATTTGAGTTTTACCCCACTTCACCCTTTCTCCCCCTTTCACCCCTTCTCATCTAGCTATCATTCCTCACACACACCAGGTCTGGAATGCCGGATATGACAGTATCCCCCCCTTAGGGCCAAGCCCATGAGGCTTCTGATCTGGAAGTCCGGACCGGACTTCTATGAATGCAGGATGATGGGTGGAGCTCATAAAAATAGAACTGGACATATAAGTAGGCCGGGGCACCCATGAGACGTCTAAAACTTTCCCCCTAACTCCTATTACTGTTTTAACATGTCTAACACCACTTCCAGCAACTCGAAGTCCGCCCGGCAACTCCTCCAAGAGAGGCAGGCGGACATGGCGGCCGAAATCACGCGACTTGAGGCAGACGCTCAGAGAGAGGCGGAGGAAGAGGAGCACAAGCACAAGGAGGCGGAAGAGGAGCGGAAACAGATGGAGGAACAGGCGGAGGAAGAGGAGCGCAAGCGCAAGGAGGTGGAAGAGGAGCGGAAACGGATGGAGGAACAGAAGCGGAAGGATATCGAGGAGACTCAGAAAAGGTTGGCTGAGCACGAGCAGGAGCATTTGGCAAAGGTTAGGATGGGCAATGTGTCGGAGGTGAGTCAGATGAGGTTTTTTGTGTTTTTCTGGAGTTTAACAAAATGTTAGTCCTCCGGTCTGGCGAATCCGGAGGTCGCGTGTGAGATGTGTGTCCTTAGGCACAAGATCTGCACCTGGGCAGTAGCATCTAAGATGCCTAGGGTGAGTTTTCTGTTTTGTCCGGATCCGGATGATTACTGATGATTTCTGAAAGATCCAGACTTGCGACCAGTGCTGTGCGTCCAAGGAAAAGTGCATTGGCAGAAATCCGCCTGTCAAGGCACCGCACGGCAAAGGCAAAGGCAAGAAACACGCACGTCCAGAGGGATCTCCGAGCCCCAAGGGCAAAGGCAAAAGGCGTCAGCGGAGTCCGGAGGACATCGACAATGACGTGGAAATAGTGTCCAATCCCCGGACGGTCATTGGGGAAGATCAAGACTGGGCGGAGTATGATGACCAGGCCTGGGTCGCAGCCGCCAACAACATTGTGGCGGAACTGGCCCGGACCAATGGGCTGATGGAGAGGGGTATTGCAGCGGTGGAGGGAAGCAGGGCTGCGATGGACCGGGTGAGTGAGAATATGCTCTGGTTCATGGAGGAGCAGAGGGAGTTTCAGATTCTCTTCATGGAGAGTCTGAGGAGCGGTTTCCGGATGCATGTGGAGGAATCTCCGGAGGAGGAAAATGCTGAGGAGGCGGAAAAGGAAGCTGGCGGATCTGGCAGAGACTGTTACAGTCATCTGCAACACCTACAAGAGCCCCTGCTCTGCTAGACTCCTGACATGGCGGCATGCCGCCAGCACTTAGAAAGACAGCAGTCTGGACCGCTGTGACACCGCCCCTGGCCTAGAAGGTCTTGTACCTGATCCATGGAGGCTGTACGCCTCATGGTCACCCTAGATCGGCACATGTTGATTGTTGCTGCCTCATGAAGCCTCATGAAGATCCGGAGTGCCTCTCGGCGCCTCATGTATATGCACAGTCACCCTTGGTGCTGCATGCTTGATCAGAGGTTAAGCCTCATGTATCTTATCTGTTGACCTCATGGTCTCTTATCATAGATCCCAGATATACTAATAGATATAGACTGAGCTTGAACCCTTACATACAGACTGTATATAAGAAGACAGATTAAAGTACTTAGACCTTACTTTAATCTACTTGGTACAACCCCAGAACTAGCCTTGCCTAATCCACTTGGTTACCCCTTGAAACCTGTTCGACTAAGCCTCTCAGCTTAGTTGTCTAGACCGCACTTCTAAGTCGCTCCCCGCGCCTTAGCCGTATCCATTAGCCCTGTATCTCGACGAGTGCTGTCTTACTGAGATAACCGGAGGAACCCTTGACATTCCGTCAAGTCGCCGAACACCCTTAGCCTTGGTGGGCTCATTTGAGCCGTCGCTAAGAAGACCTATCCA